CCCTTGAACATATGGATATTCTGCAGCAATGGATATGATCTGACGTGGACGTTGTCATGATTGGCACATGGATGCTCTGCGGCAATGGATATGGTCTGATCTGGACGTTATCATGGTTGGCACATGGATGCTCTGCGACAATGGATATGGTCTGATCTGGACGTTATCATGGTTGAAATATGGATGCTCTGCGGCAATGGATATGGTCTGACCTGGACGTTATCATGGTTGGCACATAGATGCTCTGCAGCAATGGATATGGTCTGACCTGGACATTGTCATGATTGGCATATGGATGCTCTGCGGCAATGGATATGGTCTGATCTGGACGTTATCATGGTTGGCATATGGATGCTCTGCGGCACTGGATATGGTCTGACCTGGACATTATCATGGTTGGCACATGGATGCTCTGCAGCAATGGATATGGTCTGACCTGGACGTTATCATGCTTGGCATATGGATGCTCTGCAGCAAACGATATGGTCTGATCTAGACGTTATCATGGTTGGCACATGGATGCTCTGCGGCAATGGATATGATCTGATCTGTACGTTATCATGGTTGGCACATGGATGCTCTGCAGCAATGGATATGGTCTGAATTGGACGTTATCATGGTTGGCATGGATATGGTCTGACCTGGACGTTATCATGGTTGGCACATAGATGCTCTGCAGCAATGGATATGGTCTGACCTGGACATTGTCATGATTGGCATATGGATGCTCTGCGGCAATGGATATGGTCTGATCTGGACGTTATCATGGTTGGCATATGGATGCTCTGCGGCACTGGATATGGTCTGACCTGGACATTATCATGGTTGGCACATGGATGCTCTGCAGCAATGGATATGGTCTGACCTGGACGTTATCATGCTTGGCATATGGATGCTCTGCAGCAAACGATATGGTCTGATCTAGACGTTATCATGGTTGGCACATGGATGCTCTGCGGCAATGGATATGATCTGATCTGTACGTTATCATGGTTGGCACATGGATGCTCTGCAGCAATGGATATGGTCTGAATTGGACGTTATCATGGTTGGCATGGATATGGTCTGATCTGGACGTTATCATGGTTGAAATATGGATGCTCTGCGGCAATGGATATGGTCTGACCTGGACGTTGTCATGGTTGGCACATGGATGCTCTGCGGCATTGGATATGGTTTGATCTGGACGTTATCACGGTTGGCACATGGGTGCTCTGCGGCAATAGAGATGGACTAATCTAGACGTTACAATTCATATATTATCTCTAAATTTAGAAAGAGAGATTCCCACAAATCACAAATATTATCCAACCTCGTCATTCTTATTTCGCTCGAACAATAACAAACAAATTAAGCGCCGACATCACGATTATCCAAAACTATTTCTTTCCCATATCATTTATACGTATCCATACCAATTTTTCGATTTACAACTATACACTAACAATAAAAATAAACTCCTACGAGTTCATATCCCTCCATACCTACCGAAGAGGTTTACAACAACTTTACATCTCGAGAGAAGCGGCTGGCTGTAAATACAGAGAAATCCCAAAGAATGAATCTGAATATTTTTGCATACTACTCAAGATTCACTACTATCGTAATAGAGGGGAAAAATGATGTATACTGCCATTCGCAATAAACTACCCATCTTCAAGTTCGTAACCTACCGATACTGTAATAATATCTCCCCCAAGCCTCATTATCGCAAATGACCACCCTCATCATTCCAGAAACGAAACCGAATTTGAACGGAGCTACGACTCCTAATTAAATCGTAAATGATAAAGAACGAATAGAATGACCTAGCGACACTACGTTCCATAGCGAATCTCGAGTATGAGCCCATCGTACTTTAAATCCTGAGAGAGATCGAAAACGACGATTATAACCTCACATCTTTTATACAATATTCGATAACCCTGAATACCGAAGATAAGAGCAACGTATGAAGTTTGCTTGATTCGCTCAGCATTCGATTTACAATAGAGCTACTCCTGACCAACGAGTGAGTCAAAATATTATCAAGGGCAAAAAGGATACAGAAATTTCTCTCCATCCAGTTTTACCTTCCAGTCAGTCTTATCTCCAACGCAAGTCTCTGATAATGAACTGCATATATGGTCGAGATCTCAAGATTTCGTTTTTATCGGTGGTGTAATGAGACCAGGTCTTGGGTTGGTGGGGTGGCGAGATCAGCGCTTGCTGCCATCCCTTTCAAGCGTTGCGCTGAAGACCAGCACGGCTAAACAAGAAAGGAAGGTGCATGAAGGTAGCAGAATGGGGCTGAAAGAAGACCCAACCAAGGAAAGAATCTGAGTAATATTATGTCAAGGCTCATGGTTTTGAGGACTTCTAGGGTTCAGGGGTCGGGTCAGGGCTGCGGCGTTTAAGGGCCTGCTAACCTGAAGACACGGAAACACAACTAGATAAAACCGGACCAACCTCATAATGCTCGTAGCACAGTCATCAATAACCTACTTAGGGCATACCAGAGAGGCGGAGAACCCTGAAGCAGATGTACAAAACGCTTAAAGTAACATTTTGCATCAACAACACCCCAACCAGCCCCTAAGAGCCGACGGATCCGGGGTGCAAGCCTTTGCCAAAGAGGAGTCTTTCTATGGCGGTCCATCAGGGAACCCTTGTACAGCAACCCCTCTAGTAACCCTTGTCTTCAAATTATACGGGCCTGCTTCTAGATTTTAGAGCTTGGAGTCCGACTGCATGGACACAGTGCAGTGAGTCTTTTTGGAAGGATCTGCAGGCCCAACTTGTTCGTGTAAGCTGGATGGCTGGAGGGAGAATCACAGAAGCCTGCTTGCTTCCGCGCCCGCAGGCGGTGTTCTGCGATTGCTCTCGGACGGAGGGCCGTGCTACATATTGCTTTATGCTCCTTGCCCATGGGCGGCCCCCAAGGTTGAGGAGAAGGAAGTGGCTGACGGTAGAAGCGCTTCTCGCTGACACGAGGATGTCGATGTTTGGAAGTTGTTACGTTCTCTGGCTCTTGGCAATTAGCTTGAATTTCAGCTGAAGGGATCGCTCAGATCACACTATCTTCGAGCCAGCGGCAACTTGAGACTTGAGACGTGCATTGAGACTGCCTGTTGCTACATTTCACCGCCTCTGCTTGGCAGAAGTGCAGCAGCAGAAGTGCAAAGCTCTCAGCCCCGTAGGTCCGAGGCAACACCAAACCCCGCAAGCACTCACCGGCCGAAAGCAAGACTTGTACACTTTGCCAAGGCCCGCCTCGACTCTAGCCCCCCGCCATTGTTGGCTGCATACAAAGCAACCCTTCGACATTGTCAAGCCAACATCGCAGCCCAAGCGACACTTCTTTTTCACAACTTGGCTCCGGGGGCAGCTCTGTCGACACCGGCCACACGCCGGGGAAAATCCATCACTCCGCCCTCCAATGCGATGAGGACCTTCAACTTTTCTCGGTGTTGTACAGATTTATGCTTGTCTGTTTTTCGTTTCGAGTCGTAGAAGCCACGGGAGGCCCTAAATAAAGAGTTTTGAGGGTCCCCCTCAAGTGCATGCGGGTTTAGGTGACATTCAGACGGTGTAGGGGCTTGAAGGAGTACTGAGTAGAGTCGTTTCCGTCCGGGAAGTCTTCTCTTCGGTGAGGTTCCACTCTCCGTGTGATCTCTGCCGCCGGCCGGTTGCTTGCTGAAAGATGCAAAGCTCTGGCAGAACATCAAGGCCATTTCCGAAGTGTCGCGCTGCTTCTTCATCTGGAAGAACAGACTTTTGCTTGGAAGCCTTGTGAAGTGGCTGCATGCAGCCGCACCATCCCTGAAACCTCCTCAAACACCCGTCGCTGCCCTTTCTTGGGTAGCAGTGGCACCAGCCACCCGTGCCAAGGAGCCAGTATTGAGGATCCCGTGAACGAGGGCCGGAAATCGAAGGCCAAAGCTAGGATCGGGCTCCTACTTCTGCGCTGCTTCGAGTTCGATTCGATTTGCAGCCACCGATACTTCTCCGAAGCCCCCTTGCCGAGTCAAGCTAAGAGGCCCATCATTCCACCGGTCGCGCACCGGTGGCCCTGGATGGCTGCTACCGTCGGCCGCGGAAAGCAGCAGATCCTGAAACTTCGAAGGGCAACTGATGCATGCATGATGAACAAAATACTCTCTGCCTCTATTCCGCTCAGACATCAAGAACCATGATGGCTCCTTGCGATGAGCCGGTCCGTTTGCTTCAAGAGGCTCGCCGCCTCATCTGGTTGCTTGTCCAGGTAGTTCAAGTCCTTTCCATTGGACCAAAACTTGCCTGAGCTCCCCCCAAAGTTGAGGGAGGACGGCTTTGCTGGCCAAGCTTCCCTTGTTGGTGACCACCAGCACCTGAGAATGGAAAGGCCAATGCCAATATGGAATTGCTGCAGTTGCGAGGCTGCGGCTCCAAAATGCTGGTCCAAGCACATTGACGGAGTCATCCCCGTCTACAGAATCGAGTGCGGCAGTAACGGGTCGCAGCATCACCTTATCGTTCATGAATTCGTTCCTTAGCCCTTGAGATGCGCAGCAGACCAGCAACAACCGAGGAGCGGGGTTGAAGTGCTGCTCTTGTCGAGATGTCTCCCAGGCGCCTGAAGCTCGGGGGCCAATAAAATTCCGTGATCCTGATGCTTGCAACGAGGATGACATGCGCAATGATGGATTCTGGATTAGATTTTCACTGCATGTTCACACTTGCTTCATGCTTTGAAGCAGATGTTTTCAGTCGGTATGCATGTTCCGGAACTGGCTATCTTAGCTCTTTGAAGTCGTTGCAAGCGGCCCTTGTGCGTCCCTTTCAAACTTTGGACAGGTGGCGATCGGTCGAGTCGCCCAGCATCTTCTCAACCTCTTCCAAGCTTCAGTCAGGGAAGCATGGTGAGCATCTCGTTTGGCCTCGCGCCGGCGGGTTGATTCAGCATTTTGGCTACAGAGTCGAATGACAAAAAATGAACGCTGACAGGCCTTTTTCGTTTGCCAAGACCACGATGTTCTGCTTCAGTTTGTCGCCAGTGCATTCCCGAGCCTGGCAGCAGCACCGACGATATCAAGAAATGCCACAATGGCGAAAACTCGACATGAATCCTGCCTGCAGGCTTGCTCCGACTTCGAGGGTGTGCATGCGGCCATGTTGCTGGTCCCACTTTGAGTGGGCCTGTGGGAAATGGTTCAAAGCTCAGGGCTACGGGTGAAGGACAAGGGCCAAGCACTATGAAGAAGTGAGACTTGCAGGCACCATGCTGAGGTTCGACGTCTCTGGCGTGGGCCCTTTAAGTCTCTATGAAGAAGTGTCTCAAACATGCGGTCTTGGATGATCGACTGTTGCCGCGTCTCGGCCGCTAGGCTGCTGAACTCTCGAAGGGCCATGTCCCATCAAGTTATACCCTATAACTGCAGCCTTCATCATTTTTTGGAGTGCGCAAAAAGCTGGTTCAGGGATTTGCGATTCGACAGGCGTTCTTGTGTATGGACAAAACAAACAGATCTTACAAACACAAGCGAGTGCTGTCGTCGACTGTAGTGGCAGCTCTCAAACCGGCTTTGGGTTAGGGCCCAAAACACCTACGCTTGGAGGAACTATATAGCGGCAATCATATCAAATAGCCCTTCAAGTGCAGGTTTCTCAGGGTACAGGTAGAGGGGTTAGGCGGGTGCACCTGCTCCAACTGCACCAGCTTGCGGCCGTGCGATACCTCGTCAAAACAAGTGCAATCGCCGGTCGGGACTCGAGGATACCCCCGCGAGAGATCTGGTATGGAACGATCCACAAGACTGGGCAACACAAAACTGTGATGAGGCACAACACCTTGCGTGAATCGCAGTTGTTTCTTCCGTTGTTGGCGCTGTTGCTGCTGCTGCTGTTGATGTTGTTGTCGTTGCTATTGTTGCTGCTGCTGTTGTTGATGCTGTTGTTGTGGTTGCGATTATTCTTATGAATCGCAATAGTATTCGTATGCTTATCATATTTGGCATTACTACTATTGGAATTGTTGGATCATAGGATTATTAACTATAATTCGTAGTGTTAGCATCATCAGTATTAGTATTATTACCGGTCTTGCAAAGGCAGGCGCGGGCAAGAAGGGCCTTATGATTATATCCTGAACCACCACACACAAACCCACTGTTTTGAATTGCGGGCTCTCACTGGTGATCTGGAAAGGGGCTGCAACATACAGTCACAGCATGCATCACGAATAGGCTTTATCCGCTGACACCCCTCCACAGTTGGAGGTAAGAGGCTGATTTACCACAGCCGGCTTTCTGAACAACTGCCAACCCCTATTCACCGCACTCGCTAGCCCAGCTCACTTAGAGGGTCGCTAGCCTTCAGCTTAGGCCGAAATCCATTCAAACCTTCCCGCTGGCTATCCACTCAGACACGATGTGCTTCTGCCTGATGCTCTCATACTTGATCTTGCATTGGGCTCGTCGCGCGTGGATGTACAAGACATACCGAAGCTGCTTCGTCGTAGATCCACACTTCCACTCATGAAGCATGGAGCCAGGCGATCCACGAGGTCGCTCTTGATCCCTGTCACCGGGAGCTTCTCCAGCCTCGCTCCAGCCCGCAGCTCTGTCACTGTCAGCAAGGACAGTGTGTCTCGCACCACGCGCAGCCTTCCTGCGTCACCTTCCACTCTGGTTTCCAACGCAGGGCTTTCCTGGCTCATTCCAGAGCCGCTTCCACGAAATCCTTCCACCTTTGAGGCGGAGCTTTCACAACTGCGTGCCGCAGAACGCCCACTTGAAACTCTCCTCGTTTCTGGCACGGCGTCTCAGCTTGGAGTTCCCGCCGCCAGTGCTTGCCGCTGCCTCTCTGCCCAGCTCCACCGGACTGAGGGCTGCAGCGGAAGAAGACGCGCCTTCGCGAGGTAACCCTGGCCTAGGCCCCTCTCTCCCTCACCCAGCAGCCCAGCCCAGCCCTTCAAGCACCAAGTGTTTACCTTGAAAAACGTAACCACCAAACCAACCAAGACGAAAAGGTAAACCATCAGGACACTAAGACCCCCTGAGTCATCGCGAGATGACTCGTGGCCTTCTTCTTGCATGGCCTGTGCCCTGGACACACAGCAAGCTAGCACAGCTGCCGCCATGCCCCTTTGTAAGGGCAGCTGCTTCACTAAGGACTCTAGCCTGCTTGCTTCTAGCGCCTTTGTGCCAAGGTCGGCGAGGTTCATTGATGTATCCACCTTACCGATGGAAAGTTCTTTGTCACGAACTGACTGTTGTATCCACATCTGCTTCAGGCTTAGATGCCTCACCTTTCCGCATCCTACCCTTTGCGCCATCGACCTTGCCGCCGAGCTGTCGCTCAGCACTGCCCACCCAAAGTGCTCGAGGATGGCGTGCGTGAGCTTGCCTTCTGCTGCTGTCTTCACCATCGCGTAGAACTCTGCTTCTCCTGCGGAAAACGCCACCAAGGATTGCCGCCCACAGCAGCAATCAATCAGATGCTTCCCAAACCTTTGGTAGGTAGACGACATGGACTTTCTGCTCTTCTTGTCGGTTGCCCAGTCGGAGTCGCTGAAGGATTCAAGGACGCTGGGCGTGGTCTGTAGCTCAAAGTGCCACCGCTCCACCGGGTAGGAGACAATGTATCTCCCAACTCTCTTGAGCCGAAGCCAATGGATCTCGAGCGGCTTGCTCATTCCTTCAGCCAGCTCGCTCGCCGCAATTAAACTGCAGCGAGGGTCGGTCCACCGACATGTAAAGGATGATGCCAGCCACCCGGCGGAAAACCTCCGCTCTCTCCTGGTCCAGCTCTCTGTCAACAAACCTGTTCCCAGCCTCTGTGGCCTTTGAAGACGGCGTGTCTACGCCCTTGCAACCCTTGAGGTTCAGCTCCTCCACAACCTGTTCAGGTACTTCGGGTCCGCTTCCCAAGTGAACCCAGAGCCTGTCCACGTGATCACACGACCAAGGTGCCTACCTGTCCCTCCATGGTTCGGGTCCCCGATGCGAGGCAACACTTTCACTTCGTAGTTCTTCATGATGATCTCATCTAGGCGATCCAGCTCAGTCGCCTCACCACTTGCCAAGAAGTCATCTCCGTGGCACGAGAGCGCCACGTCACCGGCACCAAAGTAGTAGGTGTTGGGGCATAGGAGTAGCTCATCATACCCATTGCTTTTCTTCACCTTCCTGATCTTCTCACCCCATTGGCGGGATGCCTCCCGCGTTCCATTCATCGCCTTGCGCAACTCCCACATGATATCAGGAGTGCCTTCCGAAGTCGGCGGAATCACGCCGATTCTTTCGCTGTTCTCAGCGTGGAAAAATGCCACGCTCACATCGTACCGCGCCACCAGCTTCTTGCTCACCTTCTGTCCTGGCTTCGCGGTCGCTGCGTGCGACATCACCGCACGGTGCACCCTCAAAGGGGGAGTGCCCATTGACACATCCTCCCGCTTGTAGGTGTTCACCTCCTGACTGAGCCACAAGCCGGCTCCTCACGCCGGGCTTGCCGTTGATCTCCTTGGCGGTGTCCACCCACCGCGACTTCACCAGCCTAAGGCCCTTGCTCCTGGCCTCCTGGTAGCTGATGTCACTTTTCACCTGCAAGGTCTCCATCTGTCCCTTCTCCTTCACTCTTCCTCATCTAGAAGCTCTCCTGTCCTTTCGTCGTAGGTCGCGGCCAGGACGGTGGTCAAAAGGTCGGGCTCCACACGCCACTCGTGAAGAATGGGCAGGCCCGCGATCGTCATCTCCTTGCGGTGCGAGCCGTCGGCCTCTCGCTTCCTGCTAGGAGACCTTGGGCTCGAAGGGGGAACTTCCGAGGCTTCCATCCGAGCGGCCGGCTGCCATCCAGGCCCGTGATCCTTCTTGGGAGGTCGCTGGGACGAGAACGTTCTCTCCCACTGCCGAGGAGCCTTCACCGGCATCCATCGGGACACAAGATCCGTAAATCTTGCTCTGGGCTGTGCCTTCCCGGCGCTTCTCCGTAAGGAACGTCGCAGCCCTTGGTCCGGCCGTACTTGATCAGCCGCTCGGCCGTGATACACACGCCTTTTGCCTTGGGCACGTTGCCCTCCAATCGCCCCTGAGGAAGGGGTCTTCCGGGCGCCAATGGCTCACCTGCCTCCCTGCGCCCCTGGACCCACAACCAACCACGTGCCTTGCCTGCTAGCCTCGACATAGAGATAACACAAAACTTCACATCACTCTCTCTGTAGCTAAAGTTCACCTGCGTGCTGCCATGCTGAAGTTGCGAGGTCCTACGGGGCCCTAGGTCAAGAGCTTCTCCCGTTACGGTCTTCATGTCTGCTCCTCCGGCTGCCTTGGCTTGGGGGTCAAAACCTCTGGGGGCTATACCTCCACCTGCGCCTGTGTCAACCAGCAACCTTTCCCTAGTCCCCGCACAAACCGGAACCCCACACAAAGGAACTGCAACACACAACGTCGAAGCTGCTGCAGTACCGACTCACCCTCTGGCTCGGTACTCTCAGGCACGGCTGCTGCGGTCCTACCTTTTCCGGTGCCCTCTGCCTTCTTCAGGTCGGCAAGCCTCTTTCGGCACACGTCCTTTGTATGCCCGAACTTTTGGCAGTAGTAGCAGAGACGCTGGCCTTTACCAGCACCGCCTCCACCCTGGTGGCCTTTTCCTTTGTCCTTCCCTTTGTCTTTCCTTTGCATTTTTCCTTTGTCCTTTCCCTTGTCTTTTCCTTTGTCTTTTCCTTTACCCTTCGGGACTCCACCGATCTCCAGGTCCTGCGGAGTGCTCCTCAGATACTGCTGTGTCCTGGCTATCTCCAGGATCTCTCCAGAGCATCTTTCCCCATGTGTCCAGCCTGCTCGCGTGCCGGACCAGGTGCTCCTTCACCGCAGCATCCGCCATACCAAGGATGACAATGCCGATGATGGTGTCATCCTCCACCTCCTTGCCACTCTGCTTCTCGTACTCCCTTACCTTACTCTCGAAGGCCTCCACACAGGACACGAGGTCGCCTTCAAAGCGGTACCGAAGAATCTCCAAGAGCAGGCCCACATAGCGCGACGACAGCTTGGGGTTATATTCCATATAAAGTTGGCGGAGGGCTTCTAGGCCTCTAGGCCTTCCGCTTGCCCCAGCATTGTGCAACTTGTCAAGCGCACGGTCGCGACAAAGCATCACAAGTAAAAAGTATAGTTGCGTGCAAAGGCCTTTCTCCGTTGCATCCAGCGTTCTATTCCACAGCCCGGTGGCTGAAATTTCCGCACGCTGCAGAAGGGCTTGGTACCTTTGATCCATAGCAGAGAGGTACGACCGGAGGATGAAGATCCAGTCGTTGAAGGCTGCTGGATCTCCTTTAAAGAGATCTGGTTTTCCTAGGCCTCTAGTGTCGACTAGAGGAAGCAAGGAGAAAGGAGAGGTAGAAGCCGGAGCCGCCGGAGCCGTCGAAGAAGCCGCCTATTGAGCGGCAACCGCCTGCTGGGCGGCATTTGCCTGGATCTGCTGAGTTTGCTGGCCCAGCTGCGCCTGCAGTGCCTGGGTCAGCTCAGCAGACTGCTGGAGCTGCCCCCGAAGCTCCTGGACCACGGCCTCCATCGCCGAAGCCTAGGGGACGATGCCCAGGATCCTCCGGCTCTTCCTCCTCGTCGTCTGCGTCGTCCTCTTTATAAAGAGGCTCCTGCTTTGCTTTCCGCTTCTTCTCTTTCTTCTCCTTCTTCACTTTCTTTTCCTTCCTGGCTGCTTGAGCTGCCTCTTGATGGCCCGACTGGCCGCCTGCAGCACGTGAGGCTTCTGAGCCTTCTGCCGCTCGTCACAGGTCGAGCAGGGATCCTGGAAGGGCTTCAGGATATGCTCGCCGACCGACCCAGGGGGCAACAGACCGCTCTCCCTGAGTTCCCTCTGGGCCGCCACTCTCTCCCTGAAGGAAAGAGAAGCCCACTGCTCCTTGAACTGCTCCACTCTTGGAGTGATCCTCAGCCGGTGCCTCCTCGTAGGCTTTGGCTTGGCAGCCGCTGTCCTCCTCACCAGCTCCTCGGAGTCTTTCTCAAAGCCCTGCTCGGCTCTCTTCAGCAGTGCTTTGTTCGATCGTCTTCCTCTCCTCTGGCTCTTGTTCGGCCTCTTCTTTGCCTTTGCCACAAGCTGCTGGTCCGGCTCACCAGCAGGGCGGTCCTTCTCCTCCTTCCGGGCCGACTGGCCCTTCGATCGGCCTTTCTTGGCCTTGCCCTTGCCGGGCTTTCCTTTGCCACCCTTGTGGCCTCCTTTCCAGGACCGCTTTCGATCCTTTTGCCGTCTTTACCGACGGCGGCCGGGAGCGCGAACGCTTCTCCGGCCCGTGGGGGAGCGCCGGAGCGCGGCGCGTCCGCCCACCGAGGGGAGCACCGAAGCGCTTCCTCCTCTGAGCTGGCCCAGCTCCGCTACCATGCAAAAGCAGGCGCGGGCAAGAAGGGCCTTATGATTATATCCTGAACCACCACACACAAACCCACTGTTTTGAATTGCGGGCTCTCACTGGTGATCTGGAAAGGGGCTGCAACATACAGTCACAGCATGCATCACGAATAGGCTTTATCCGTTGACAATTCTTGTTGTTTTTGCTTCAAAATTGGTTTCATTAGTATTGCTATTTTTCTTCAGACTCAGATGCCCAATGTAAAGCCGTCAACCCGGAGAAGCTATATTCCCCAAATCATAAACGTCGCACACTTCAAACGAAACCCCTATGTCCACTTGCCGTTCAAATTGCACCCAGGAAGGTACAAACACTCGTCGCGGATCCTTGAAACGACCCCAAACCATCTTAAGCACTTAATCTTAGCCTTAAACCTATACACCCCCAACCTTGGGTTCCCATGCTTAATGAAACATATGACAACTACATCACACTACATCCGAACCCTATACGCTACACAACACGGCTTTAACCATTAGCCCTGAAAGCCGCACCCGCAAGCCCTAACACCCTAATCGGCTTCGGAATCCTGCATCCTGGTGGGTTGCACCGTGCACCAAGCAACCCTAAACTCTGGTCTGAAACCTTGCACCCTGGAAAACTGAATCCGGCTCCGGAAACTGCAGAAGCACGAAGACCTCAAAACCCCAAACCCTGCGAGAGACCCCTGCAGAGCGCAGCACCAAACACTGCAAAGGTTGTCGAGGACAGTCAGAAGGACTCGGCCGACCTGACTCTGAAAAAGATGTTCACAGTAAGAAGCTTTGCAGAACTGTTAAGTATGGAATCCCCATCTGGACCTCTTCTATCTACACATCTATACACACACATACATATATATATATATATATATGTGTATATGAAAATGTATATGTATATGTATATGTATATGTATATATATATATATATATATATATATGGTCACGCGCTCCGCAGCCCCCCCCCCCTCCCCCCCAAAGGTCAATGGTCCGGATATAGGGTGGGGGCCCCCCTTTCCCCTGTGGTGTGGGTTGCGGGGTTCCTCTTCCCCCTGTGGGGTGGTTGTGGGGTTTTGGGGTTTAGGGTTTAGCTTAAGCTTTTGAGTTTTGGGTTTACGGTTACAAGGTAAAAGGCTTCGAGTCGACAAGGGCTTGGGGAGGATTTGCGGTGTATGCTCTGCTTTAGGCTTAGAGCCTGCAGTTAGGTGGGGTTTAGGGTTGGGTGTAGCGTTTTAAGCACAAGTTAAAGTTGCTCAAAACAGGTGCACGCGCTGCGTTATAGGGTTTACGGCTTGCTTGCGAAGGGCTTGCACGTGAGCCCTGGCCGCCAGCCCCCAACCCTTTCCGCACACACCAGCCCCCCCCCCCTCCACCCCTATCCGACCATACTATGGGGGGAGGGGGGGGGGGGGGCTGGGAACGCCAGACCATATCCATATCCATATATATATATATATATATATATATATATATATACTTTTATGTTCCAGGGGCTGCGCCCATGGGCGGGCAGCGCAGGGAGAAGCCTGCCCCCAAAGCGACAACTGTCACGAAGATACTGGCCCTGCGATCAACAAAGCAATAATCATTACCAGGCACGCGGGCAGAAGACACCCGACGGCCAACCAAAGGAACATTAGATGTTTGAGTTAATGATGATGATAGTGATCATCGCCCACATCATCATCATCATCATCACCATCATCATCATTATCATCAAGGATTGAGTATACCAACCACCCAAAGCAAACCAACAACGCAGGGGAGAACCACCGCAAGAAAACCCGAACCCACACCATGCCACGGAGTGAGGGGGGGCCGAAACGGGATCATATAAATAAATATATATATATATATATATATATATATATATATATATGCATGCATGTGCTAAGATACACATTCCACATATACATAAAAATTCACACATATATATATATATATATACATATATGTATATATATATATATATATATTCTATACATATGTATGTGGGTGTGCCGTGAGAGCCCTTTGGGCTGCCCTGCCGCAGAGAGGTTCAGACTCACCCAACCTGGCGATGCACTCCATACATCCCGTGGGAGCTTCAAGTCCCAAAAGTCACCCAGCTCACGGCCTGGTACGCCGTCAACGCCAAGCCTCCTGCGTGCACGATTTCGATCTGAAAGACTGTTGATATGGCCTGAAGCGACAAAAGTTCCCAGGCGGGCAGGAGTCCTGCAGAAGTCGTCTGCAAAGTGACAGCAATTTCGGGAAAGTACATCATAATCAGGTCCCGGATACTCCTGACAAGTTACCGAAGAGATGACACATGCAATGCATACACTCTTTCGGTCATGGTCCACCTCAAGCATCTGCGATACGATATCCGCGACGTCTTCCTCCACATGACAACATCAATGAGGCAGGTGGCGAATCGTAAGCAAGTGCCAATGCACAATCTGAATGTAAGTTGCTCTTGGCTCGTGACTGGGCTGAGACGCGTGAAGCCCAAGTGCACCTGCAGAGTTGCAGGGTCATTGAAGGAACGGACATCAGCCCAGAAGATCCATCGAAGCAGATGCTTAGGTTTCGGGCAGTTCGACTAAATCGATGACACGGATGTTGCAGAGGGTTGATGCATCGCACGGCAGGCGTAGTCCTGCAACAGAAGGGGGTTCCAATGTTTTGCAGCATCTGCAAGGCTGCTCAATCCTGTCGTCACCAGAACCAAAGTCCCATTCCAGATTGTTGACCTCGAGAGTGCGGCGCGCAACATGTTACACATCGCAGAAAGGCTTCTCAAAGACATCCCCAGCCTCAACACCAGCGTGGTATATGCCACCAACACATGGCGTTAGTGCCTCAAACGGACGCAAGAAACACTTTGCAGCACTGCCCCTGTTCCTTGGAGGCTGGCCTTGTTCAATCGCCTGATGCCTTTGTCCTGGCGCCCGAGACAGTAAGCATATCGAGACAACCCGCAACATCCCGCAAATGTGTGAAGACATGTCAGGAAGGCCCAGCTGCAATGATAAACATTCAGGAACACCGGAGTGAAGCCCTCGCAGACTGTTAGACACACCAATCGAGAAAGGACCTGTGTCGGTGCCCGCACGCGCAATGTGTCGCAAAGACGGCCTCCACCCCTCGTCGAGCTGCAGCAACTTTGCCAGGGTCTTTGAGACCTGCAGGGCAAGACTCTCGGACTTTTGCAGGCCAGGTGACAGGCGGAAGCGACCAAGCATAGGACACGCCATCAGCTGCTCGGCATGCTCCGGCTGGAATGCTTGTAGAGCTTTGTGAAATTCCTGTCACTCGGAGGTAACGCGGCATTGCTCTCCGTTATGATCCATTTCTTTCGATAGATCCGTCCTGGATCTTCAGCAGCCTGTGCATAGTGTCCCAACCGTGGTCCATCAAGACGTCGATGTATTGCGGGAGGCCTCCGTGCAGGCTGTAGGCAAACAGCTCGAACATTCAAGCGTGAGATGATCCGACGGCCTATCAGGTACATGAAGAGGCAAACCTGCAGTGTTGACTGCCGGGCCAGCTATAAAGCTCCGACTCCGAGGTGGGGTGCATGATCGCAAGAGCCAATGGATGCTGCGTGCCCGGGAGCGCGAATAAACTGCCACATCTAAGAATCTAGGACTCTAGGAGACACGCTCATAAGTTCATGGAACCTTTTTTAATTCCAATTCCGCGCAGCAGGCGACAACTTAAGAGACGAACTGGAGACACATGCACGCACATTACAGGAGGGAGGCGCGACGGAGATTGAGAGGAGCGAAGACGAAGGGTCACGCAACGACCGCCAACACAGGCCAGACTAAAGAGGTCAGCCTCGGACAGTTTCACTGATTAGAGCACGAGATTGCCACCCTATCTTTCACATGCTTTATCCCCTCGCCCGCAGGACCCCGCTGTTCGTGGATGCCAAGTGACGTCATAGGTTGGGCCAATGGGGAGAACGTCGTTGAACTTGACCTTCTGCTTCTCTGATGCCTCGAATGCCGCCTGCAGGGCCACCTGCACATCCAAGTGCGCCACGGTACACCATGCCAAGCCTGCCAAGCTCAAGCACGGCCTGCGCAAGCTGGCGGTCGGGCATCACGAGTCCCATCTGCACAAGGAGTGCTGTGGACTGCCTTTGCAGCAACATTGCCGCACACTGATGAACTGTCCTCTTCGTCAGGCTCATCGCTGCCTGAAGCAAAGTCCGATGTCATGCGCTTCACCGATTTGCACCTTTTTGTTCCGCTCACTTCTCAATTCCATGCCTTGCCTGCAGCGGGCCTCGCAGGATTCGCCACAGCACGGCGCCGGCACCTGAAGCATGAGGACCGTTATGAAAACCACCAAGTGGAACAGTGTAACGTGGTTCCGATGCAAGGCTTTTACAAAATCTTGCGAGGAAGAGCGGAGTGGCTGCCTCAACCAGCTTGGCCACCACACCATCGCACGTACACTGAAGCCCCCCTCAACGTTTAAAGTGATGCAGCCACCGTTTTGGCCGGCCGCAGGCTTTGCGCGAAAGATGCGAACTGTCGCATGGATGAATGTTCTTGAAGGTCTGTCACGTACCCTAAGCGCTTTAGATGCCAGTACGTTGGCCCCTGTCCACATCCCCTTTTCAGCCACGCCATGACATCATTGCAGAAGATGCGGCTCAAATGCAGGACCTCTTCATCAAAACGCTGCAGCATATTGTGTCATGTTGCTGCTGCATGGTTCTTTTACCCCGAAGCCACCGCTGTCTCCGGCATCTCCTTCTCTTTGGGGGACCTTGGAGTGCTAAGTGGGACCTCAAGCCTGGTGCCCCATAGAAGGACTATAGTGATTGTGGCATAGCTATGTGTAGTTGCTTCTGGTTTTTGAATTGCAGGACCGTCGGCTTTATTGAGAGTGCACCAAGTATCTGCAAGCTTGTTCTTGTTTTGACACTGCGCCTGCAAGCTCATGTAGATCTCATCAGCCCGCGCCTGCAGCTGCATATCGATTCATCTTCTTCGAGGCAAGCCGGCATCTGCTCAGGGTGTCAAGCTGGCTACCACTCATTCCGACTCATTCCGAAACCCATCACTCCGCAAGTAACTACCAGACTCACATGCAAAAACACCGACAGCAATGGTTTACATAGGATGATTTAGGTCGCCAGCCAACACTGAAATGCGGTCAGCTTTCATGTCTCTCTCGGTGCTGTGTGCGCACACGTGTCTGCTGTACCATGGCCGGAGAACACGCGCAAAAATACTTGTGCATTTAATTGGATGTGCTTCGCCTTTGCCTTGCCTGAGAGAAGAATATGACAAGCAGTCAAACAGCGCGAATGCCCTGAACACATCCGACAAACTCGGCAACAACACGCGTGCCCTGCTGAAACTCCATACGCTAGGAGCCGCTAGGCCAGGCTTGATTTCACAGCTGGATGGCCTCGAGTCCCCTTGGAGCCCCGGCGCCAGCAGCAGCTGCTGCTGGCTGAACGGCAAACCAGAAGCTTGGCCTTGACTAGCGAAGCAGCGAGGGATCCAAGGCCAGAATGAAACCTCATTATGTGGTCTAACGTAACATAATAGTACGACAAGTGATATCTATGTATATCTATATTTATTGTATTCCAACACAATTGTAACAATAACACTACTAATACTGCTGGGGGAGGTTCGGCGAAGGGCGGGGGGGTTCGGCGAACTTCGTGTGAGGGTCGTATCTCCCTCCGTTTCGGGTTACCCCCCCCTCTCCCCCAGTTTGCCCTGAGTTGTGGGTCCCTTTGGATCCCAAGTCTTCGACGTATTTTCTTACCGGGCGCACCTGTGAAGACCCAAGCGCACTTGATAAAATCAAGCACACTTGGTAAAATCAAGCGCAGATCGATTTCGCCATAAAACCAAGCGTAGAATATCGATGTCTTTGCCCGTCATATTATGGGCGTGCGGAGTCCGCATCGGCGCGATCCTTTGTAAATTCCAAGCCCAGCAAGTGGCTTTTCGTTGCAACAACGAGGATCCCTTTGCGGGGATCGTGCATTTGGGCTTGATGAGCATCTTGGAAGTGGCGCAGCGGGTGTGATACTGCAACGATTTTGCGGTGTGCGGAGTGACAAGTGCGCAGTAGTTGCAGGACCGAGACAATTCTCTCTCTCTCTCTCTCTCTCTCTCTCTCTTTCTCTTTCTCTCTCTCTTCCGGGCGTGGGGGTCGTGGCAACGTCCAGGCCACTTCCCCCGTGCGCACACCCGCGGTTTCACGGGATGTCCATTGCCCCCCCCCCACAGTTTCGCAGAAAGGGGCTCGGGATTAGAGAAGACCGGTATTTGTTTCCCCCCAAGTTTCCGCTCCGATTGAGACAATTCAATTCTCTTTCTTTCGCCAGGGCTATATTGTCTCTCTCTCTCTCTCTCTCTCTCTCTCGGATGTGCCCTGACAGGATTTTGTCGAGGCTCGGGCTGGCTGTCTCAGCTCGCACGGAGTCCGGAGCGAAGGGAAGTCAGAAGTGTGGGTTGCATTCTGCCCGCGTGTCGGACGCCATGGCCTTGGCGACTCGGGAAGCCCTGACAGTTGGAAGAAATCTTTTGGGATTCATCAAGGGAATTATATGATTGGATTTGTTTATACCGAGACCAAACCAATCTAGACTGAGAAGAAGACGAAGCCGTGGCCCTCTGAAGAGCTGAATTCTGCCAGCTGCAGGCTTGCGTGGAGGATTCTTTGCCCACTGATCGGGCTAGCGGTGCCTCGAAACGAATCAGAAGGCAGCTCGAGTTTCAAGCATGCAGACATACTCACGCAGTTCTCAGCCACGACGCTGAACTGTTCGCCCACGGCGGCCACAACAGCTGTGCGTGGACTGTCTGCATCGTTGCAGCTCCACTTGCTTCACTTGCCTTCATTCTACGCGGAGCCTACTCCAGCCACTACACCACCTCAATCTGAGTCGCAACGCTGCCTCATGACCTGACGATCGCTCGCAGGAAACGTATGTCTGGCGGTTTCCTTGGCAGACTCTTCAATTTTAATTGCCATGCAAATTCGCCACACAATCTCAAGCTGTGGACTGTGGACTCTTATTTCAGAGCGAGATAGACGGATCCACCCACCCACTTGAACGACATGCAGACATACCTGACCTGACACCCACCCCGCATCCTCAGCTATTCCTTTCCCGCTTCCCGTAACAGCAAGGCGGGGCGCTTCACTCATCGCCCTCCTCGTCGTCCTCCAACCATACGGCGGCGGTCGATAGCCGCAAAGAGACCCAGCCTGCGGGCAAGCTCCCAATCGTCACCGACCTACAGTAAAACACCCATACTTTGCACCAGACTCTAAGCCCACTCGCAAGCGTAGCTGAACTCTGGCCTGATCTCCTGCCCGGAGGTCAGGCTGATCCCACCACACTTGTAGCCTACCATGACAATGACAGGCCGCGGCATGATGCTTAGCTGAAGACTGTCTTACCACATGTCTCACAGTCCGGCTCAAGTCATCGGCGAAATGACAGCAGTTCCTCTTGAGGAAGCCGTAGCTAATGTACTCCTGCCAGAACTCGCCAACAATTCACGGACCATCTCACTACATACTGTCCTCCCTGCCTGAAGCATCTGCCTGAGAATCGCGCCGACGGCTTCCTCGGCACTCATCATGCTGCAGGCATTGCGATTCGTCCCTTTGCAACTACTAACACATGCGGAGTTTGTACCCCAAGGGCATGGCCGGGCTCAGGCCAGGCCGGTCTCTCCCAGATACACCTGCAAATTACCCCCCTCTCTGTGCAACAGTGGACAAGCGTGGAGCTTGCAGCTACCAGATTTCAGAGACCCGTGGCTTAATGCAATCGCGTCTGAGCTTGCGGCCTTTTGCCTGTACTCATAGGCACGGTCTTTTTCAGGCAGGGCGCAGTACACACCGGACCTGCACTTGGGTCCCGAAACTTCTTTTTGATTTCTTGAACCGGGGCGCCGGCACGTCGTCCTCGTCCGCATCTCCAAATGCCCACTCCAGACCATCCACCTCAGAAATCCTCAGAATGCAATTCATGCCTCATTCTCGCGACAGAGCTGAGGCAGCCCTGCCTCAACGGCAGCATGGAATATCCCTGCCCCGGCGCGAGCAAAGACCTCCCCGAGTAAAAGTCCGAAGACCAGGCAGCCCATGCTTCTGGCACTCCAGCCTGGTTGAGGATTGAGAATGCCTGCAGAAACTCAGTTGCAAGCACCACCACCATCGCAGAAACAAGAAGCTAGCCGAGCAAGCAGTACCAACTGCAGAGTTCGACACGCAACCTTCAAGAAGCCCGGAACCCCAACAACGCCTCAAACCTGCAAAACCCTCGCGGTCAATATCAACGGCGTTGGCATAAACAAGGAGTGCCTCGTTGAGGTCGTAGATGTTGAGCCAAACTGCTCGCAATCCAACCTATTCCAACCTGATGAGAGCGGTAGTGCTGGCTTCACCTCGAGACAGGAAAAGAGCGATCGCAAGCGCAGCCGGAAGCAACCCCCCTAAAAGAAAATTCTCAAGGCGATCCCAGCTGCGACCCCAGGCAAGCAGATCAAACCATGGATTGGATCATTCACATAGAACGTTTCCTGGACATCAAGGGCACATAAGGAGAACCGGATAGTCTTATCTAGGGAAGGCAGGAAGGGCTTCCGTTGTCAGGCTCATCACGCTCTTTCTCAGTCGTCCTGCTTGCACAGTGTTTGGGCATCTTTTTGGATTTCTTCGCTGCACCCTGCAATCGTTTCAGCCCCTCTTGGACATCAACCCGACTGACCCAAAAAGTGCTGTTGCTGGGTGAAAGGCAATCCCACATGGCAAGCGTCACGTCATGTATAGCCCTGGAGGAGAGCATCGCGCTTTTGGCCTTCCTCCCGCAGCAAAGCCTGCCACATAGAAACTTCCCGGAACATGGAAAACCACAACCGCCAATTTTTGAAACCGACGAGAACACACCACCTACGATTCCCATGCCTGCACATCGGGATCTTCGAGGAGGCACCGACGCCGTTTTGGGTCCAAGCCTGGGGTTGCTTTTGATGCTGTATATCAGTTTTGGGTTTAGGTTTAGGGTCTAAATCGAAAGCTCGAGGCTGGGGCGTTTTTATGGTCTATGGGGCTCCACGGCTTAAGATGGTTTCAGAGCTCAAGGTTTTGGATTTCGGGGCTAGGCGCGCAAAAAAAAGTCGGCAAATGCTTCAAGCAGGGGCCAGGGTCGAGCGTTGTAAATCCTTTGCCAACAACGTTGCTAACAAAGGATGGCTTCAGAACTCAGCGTTTGGGGATTCGAGGCTGAGTGTCCAAGAAACGTCTGCAAATGCTACAAGCAAGGACCATGTGTCGATCCGTGGCAAATCTTTGCCCAAAACCTTGCTGACAAAGGTTGGCACCTTCTCTGCCATCGTTGTCCTGTTTGGATCCACTGGCCATGGCGGTGGGAAAATTACTGCTAAGTTGTAACGCATGGAGTTGTTGGGAGAAGGCAAGGCTTTGGGTTCGGAGTTCCGGGCTCGGTCTCAAACGCTTGGACTCAGGCCCTACAAGCCAAGGAGGTCTTCAATTAAATGCTAAAGCTCAGGGCCGGGTGGGTGAACACGTTGTGAAGAGCTGAAGGAAGTATCTTTAAGGCAACCCTACCCATCTAATCTCGACGCCGCTTGATGGGATGTGAAACTGTTGCGTACTACAACTGAACGAAGTTTACCAGGCTCATACATGCAACACTGTGTAAGCCGTACAGTCAACTCCAATCACGCCTACACAGACAAAACTTCGGCCGGAGCACTGTGGCAACTCAAAAAGAAGTTTTTCTATCATCCTCCAGTTGACAACACCCCACAATGCCAACGCGGGTGCTACGGCTAGGTTCGGCAAAGACCTCCGGGCCAGCGAGAGGGAACTGCATCACAAAAAATGACACAGCGAATGCCGATTACACATGCGAGCATTGACCCACGAAGCATGATCTCAGCATATCCAAATACACTCCAACATACAAGTAGTCACCAACATAACGACATACATCCAACTATCAGAAAGACATGCAGCCTGCTTCCACGGGAATTCAAAATGGTTGATTGCAGGCGTCGTCTTACATGACCGCCACGCTCCATCCATGGAAGCACAATGCGTGGCCAACTTTTTTGATTCACCATGTTTCCTTCGCGTGTGCCGCGTCGGGCGCCAGTAGCAGGCACGACCTGACAAACAGGCTCGGCATGATTGTCTGCGAGATGCGGCTTCGGATTCTAAGGATGCCATGGCTGCAAAGCTGGAAAGCTTCAGTGCGAAAATTGCTTGCCCGACTGCGTATAGCGTCGTAAGCCCCGTGCGTTCTTTTAATACCCACTTCGTGCAACATCACCGAATTCCATTAAAGCTGCCCCCATCAACACCACACAGACACCACAAACCCTCAGACTCGCAGTCGTCGTTCATAGTCGTAGTCGTAGTCGTAGTAGTAGTAGAAGAAGAAGAAAAAGAAGAAGTAGTAGTAGTAGTAGTAGCAGTAGTAGTAGGACCAGTAGTAGTAGGAGCAGAAGTAGAAGTAGAACTAGAAGTAGAAGTGAAAGTAGAAATAGAAGTAGAAGTAGTAGAAGTAGAAGTAGAAGTAGAAGTAGTAGTAGTTGTAGTAATAATAATAATAGTAGCGGTCACAGACAGCCTGCAGCAGGCGCAAACAAGGACAGAAGAATGGCTCCAGTCATCTGTGGGGCGAAACAGTAAAGGGAGGAGGTGGCTCCCTCCATTGCATGGTTTGGGGCGAAACACGTCCGGTGCAGGAAAGGCATCACAGGTCCAGCCTGCGGATCTGAGAGCGGAGGAGCGACCAAGTCAGGGTCCTAGAAAGAGAGGAAGACACCAGGAACCAAATGCCACAGGCGTCAGGAAGTCCAAGAGCCAGGGTGGTGACTACAAGGAGGTAGAAGCGGACGAGCGCGCTGTGCGGAAGCAGTCTGTGGCGAACCAAGTGGCCGGGCAAGGTTGGGTAGGCTCCAAAGAACGAGGAGTCAAACGTTCTCTAGTGCTGGAGAAAAGGCCTTTCGAACGTTCCTTGAGCAAGCGCAAGAAGACCGGCTTTGCGAGCCCGCCTCCGCTCAGCTGTGAGGAATGGAAGTCATACTGTACGAAGCATGTGGCATCTCAGACCATTATTCATGTTGACGGGGCCCAAGCCTATGAGACCCAGGTTCATGACAAAGAAATCAGACGCGATACTGTTTGCCACTCGACCCAGAAGGGCGGACCCTTCTTCGTGAAAGCCTGCAACCACAAGGACGTCAACGGCCGCACTAAGAAGACTTGTGCAGGAACGCAGGCCATGGATGGCTACTGGCAGCACTTGAAGCGCTCATGTCATGGTGTCAATGCCAGATACCCTGACAAATGTGATGATCACATCAGGGAATCCCAGTGGCACTCTTGGCTTGGTAGCGAGGACCCTTGGGAGGCCATGGGCCGTGTGTTGCGCAAGCTTCGTGAGCGGTCAGAGCTTGTCAAAAAAAACACACGGGGTGCCGCCGTGCACGCAGAGTTCAACTTGTTGCAGTTTCAGTCTCCACCAGTGTCGCCGCTCAGACTTCTTTAAGCCTGCAACCACCTTCAAGTTGAGACCAACAAGACCTTAACAAGTTCCGACGAAGGCCCCAAAGCCATCCGCTGGCCGCACCTCACCCGTGTCGAGTGCGAACGAGATGCGCTGACCTTCCTGCGAATGCCGCAGCATCAAAGACCCCGCATCGAAAGCCACATGTCGAGAAGGGACTCCTTGAAGAGGACGTTCGTATATAGTCCATGAATTACCTGGCAAGCAACGGCCCGAAACCAGATCAGCTTTTGCACACATTTGATAATATCCTTGCCTTCCCATCATGGGAACCGGAGTAGTCCCTGGCCCGATGATGCCAAATGTCTCACAACGTCTTGCAAAAATTGCGGTGAGGATCCAGCGCCAAAGCCACGCCGGTTGTGGTCCGGTCGGCGAAGATTCCCTGCCATGTCCCGCGTTCGTGGCTCACTCTTGATCCTCCCTCCTCTCTGTTGCGCCCTGGAGCACAGTGGCATCTCGAGTCTCAGATGCTTTCTTGTTTATCGCGTGCCTACGGAGGCACAACCAAATCCACCAAGCAAGTGTGGCTGATCACTCTCGTCTCACTCCCATTCTCAACCTCGATATCAATCTCTGTCGCTCTGCTCTGTCCCTGCCCCCTGAACCAGACCTGAATATAGTTGCCACCGCAGGAGGAGCAAATCTCGAGCTCGTGACCAATGCTCCTTGGGTGCGTGCTTGTTCGGCTGCCTTTGTGCAGTGCCTCGTGACCTAGTGGAGTTCTGCACACTCTCATCTCGCACTCTGTGCCCGCTGCTGACATGTGCGATGTGGTGCGAGCGAAATGGTCTTCTGTACATTCACAACCTGCTGAGCTCCGTACGAAAAAGTCCTGCGTTGCATCAGTCGGACAACCTCTCAAGGAACCAGCTCATGGATCATAACCATCGCCAAGGGGTGAAAAAATTCAAGCAATCAACCAACTCAAAAACTCAGCCGAGAAGATCATAAACTCAAACATCAGGCAACAGTCATGGGCCCTGGGCCTCTGGGTCGATTCGGGTCTTTTCCCCGGCCTTCACGAACAGGCAAATACTTCGGATAGTGCGGTCAGAAGTTGAAGCTTTCAGAGTGTCTCATAATAGCAGGTCCTCACGATTGCATTTTGTTCATATTCTAGGGGGGAAGCTGCTGGGGCTACACTCTGTTCTTTACGATTGAACAGTCGCCCGTTGCCGTGGTCCCTGCTCCATCGCTATATAATGCTATGAGCGAACGGAGCATGTTGATTGCTTTGCATTTTCGTGCCCGCACATCATGGCAAGCTCGCGACACCGAGGCCAACGCAATAAGTGGTAGGATTCTTCCGCAAAGTCTTGTTCGCAAGACCTGGCGCTCGAGATCATTTGATGTTACACCCAGCAGCAGTCAATATCCAACGTGGCACTACACCGGCAACTAATAATGGCTTACCTGTAACACCCTGGACAAACCAAGTAACCAAGCAAAGCCGTTGGCAATTGTTGGCAGCGTATTTGGTCTGCAGACCGTGGAAGCACGCCTCACAAAATCGAACGTTTCACGTCTTGTCTTGGACATGTAGCCCAGAAACCTGCGCCGTGCACAGAGGATTGGCGGCTCACTGCACAAATGGCTAACAAGACTATAGGAGGACCTCTTCTCGTCAGCTTTTCCCCACGGTGTGTTCCTGTCAGCAAACCATGCGGCAATGCGTATTGGCGAAGAGTACAACTGAGCTGAACTGAGTCAGGGGCCCCTCACCTATCTGGCAACAAGGGCAGCCGTCCAAATAGTACTCGACAACTCAGCTGTTTCAGCCATTGCGCCGCATAATGCGATGCTACGCAGTGTCTGCGCTGCAAGTGGGCAGGCTGCAAAACAATTAAGGCCTCCACGCCTTGGCCCCCAATCCACCACAATCGAGGTGTGCCAGATCCCCTGTAGGCAATGCAGCGTTCCGGTCCAAAAAAAGTGCATGTCCTTCTCATCGCGGCGGGGGTCCTTCATGTGGGCGCCAAAGAGCCAAGGTGCGTCATCAGGGCCGTTGAACCTTTGCAGCAGGCTTTGATATTACTCGGATAGCTTGAAACAAGTCTTGTCGCTTGTCTATGTTGTTGCAGCTACTTTTGCTGCTATTCCTGCTTCCACTACAATCGCTGGATCATATGACCCAGATCTACCTGAATTTGGTCATGCATCTCGGCTGAACGATGATGGGTTTGGGCTAGAAAGAATTAGAAACATACATTGCCAACCATCACACTTATGCATTCCAGAGATTGCTCATCGATACTTTCGGATAGTAGGAAACAGCAGCAGAAACCCAATCTTAGCAAGAGCGCACGGAAACCTGGACGGACTAACCTTCGCACATTTTGGCATTTCACCCCTTGTTCGCTCTCCCGACCACACGAAAAAACAATCAATTGCGTACCTGGCTCATGGTACCACGGT